GGGTGTGACTGCTGGCTTCCCCCCTTGGTAGCTGTGTTACTTAATTCTTAGTTTGCACTTTTTTTTTTTTTTTTTTTTTTTTTGAGACAGAGTCTTTCTCCATCTCCCAGGCTGGAGTGCAGTAGCATGATCTCAGCTCACTGCAGCCTCTGCCTCCTGGGTTCAAGCAATTCTCCTGCTTCAGTCTCCTGAGTAGGTGGGACTACAGCTGTGTGTCACCACACCTGGCTAATTTTTGTATTTTTAGTAGAGACAAAGTTTCCCTATGTTGGTCAGGTGGGTCTCGAACTCCTGACTTCAGGTGATCCGCCCATCTTGGCCTCCTAAAGTGCTGGGATTACAGGCGTGAGCCATGGCGTCCAGCCTGCAGTACTTTTTTAAATTGTAAAGTATATATAACATAAAATGTTAACATAAAATTCAGTGGCATGAAGTACATCTACATTGTTGTGCAACCATCCTCACCCTCCATCTCTATACCTCCCTCATCTTTCCAAACGGAGACTCAGATTCATGTTTTCTTCATTCCACCTCTGTTTCCTCATCTGACGGATGGAACTAATCACTGAGTGTGCTTTGCACGTGCTTATAGGTGGGTAATAGGTATTCAGGTAATGTTACGATTGTTTTCTTCTCTTGAGGAAGCTGCTCTGGAAAGTCAGTGCAGCAGCACCGCACGGAGTGGTCTCTAGAAACCCACAGCCCACCGCCGCCCGGCTTCATTTCTGTGGCTCGGGTACATTTTCTGAGAGCTGCTGGGGAAGCATGCCGCCCATCTCATCTGGGAAGATGAGTCACTTCCTCTGCTGATGGGTTATGAGCCTAGGGATGGGGAAGGCAGGAAGCAGAACACAGGCAGCTGCTTCTCGGCTGGTCGGGACCTCCGTAGCGGCTCACATAAGAACCATGTGGCCAGGTGGATTCTCTCTGGTGTCTGGACAGGGTAGGACACCCTAACTTGCCTGTGTGCCAACTGTCTCAGGAGGGGCTGGAGCAGGCTAACTTCCTTCCATCAGTGCTGCTTATTCAGAGCACATCAGTTTGCATTTTGCTTGATTCTCTCCTTTTCACATCACACTCCCAACACATCACTCCCCACCATTCTGCGCACACACTTCCAAGATTCACTCACTCCAACTCTTCCTGGCATGTGCGTCTAAAATCATCTCACCTTCTAAGTGGCACTGTCCTTATTTAAATGCATGTCCTTTTTTTTTTGTCCCCTAGGTGGAACTAGGGGAGAGACCAGGCCTCAGGCGTCCCTGATGGATCCTGGTTTCTGGCCTGCTCTCTGACTAGGGGAGCAAGTGGATTTATCCAGCAAACAGGCTGAATGGTGGTGTCAGAATCAGACTGGGTCCATACAGGACGCTTAGAGGGCCACAGAATCTCCTCCTAAGAGTCCTTCTGCTGGGGACTCCAGTCTCTTCAGTTAAAGACACCCACCATCCTCCAGAAAGAGCCAGGGGTGGCAAGCAGTCAGCTTAAGTGAACCAGTCAAGCCTTTGGAGTAGCTTAGGCTGGAACTCAGCCAACATTAGTTGCGTGGCATGGGGCAGATACTTCATTTTTCTAAGTCTCAGTTTCTTCTTCAAAATGGATGCAACGATTACGACTAATACTCATTATTTGCTAAGCATTATTCTAAGCACTTGTATCAGCTCCGTTAATGCTCCCAACAACCTATTATAACCCCCAATTTACAGATGAGGAAACTGAGGTACAGAGAGACCTGCCAAGGTCACACAGTTGGTAAGAGGCAGACCAGAATCTTAACCTAGACAATCTGGCCCCAGAGTCCAAGCCCCTGAGACGGCACTTAACCGTCTCAAAGGGCAAATTTGAGGACTTAGTCATCATCCACTGGTCCCTAAGCCATGAGGTTGAATACGGAATGAGCCAAGTACTAAGCTGCTGCCTTTGATGGACCCTGGGCATTTTACTTTCCTTGTCAAATCTCAGGTTTCCCTCCTACAACAGGAGGGGCTTGAACCCCAGCTCCGTTTCAGCAAAGAGCTCACCATTTGTCTGGAAACCTGCCCCTCCCAGGTCCCTGTTCTGAGCCCCTCCTGTCTCCTCAGAGTCAGCCCCCATCCCCACAGCCTGTGTGGCAACTCTGCCTTCATATTCCTCTGTCTCTTACTCCCTCTTTTCCCTAAATTCAAAGCCCACTCCTTGTTCCTGTGGAACCCTGCACAGCTTCCTGAATCTTCTGTGACTCCTGTCTCCCTAGTTCTAATCCATCCTCCACATTCTACTGGAGCCATCTTTCCAAACACTAATCTTTTTTATTTTTTTGACAGGATCTTGCTCTGTCATTCAGGCTGGAGTGCAGTCGTGCCACCCAGCTCACTGCAGCCTCAAACACCAGCAATCCTCCAGCTTTAAGCTTCCCAAGTAGCCGGGACCACAGGCTTGCACCATCATGCACAGCTAATGTTTTTTTATTTTTATTTTTGTAGGGACAGAGTCTTGCTATGTTGCCCAGGCTGGTCTCAGACTCCTGGGCTCAAGTGATCCTCCCACCATGGCCTCTCAAAGTGCTGGGATTACAGGTATGAGCCACTGTGCCCAGCTCCAAACCCTAGTCTTATTGTGCCCAGCCTTTCTCCTCAGAGCAAAGCCTATTTCTTAGCCTAACATTTGCTGCTCATCACCACACACCTATAACCTACCTTACACTTTCATCCCTGGCGCCTGTGTATGCACAGTTCCCTCAGCTCAAATGCCCTTCCTGCCTTTTACCACTGGATAAGCACAGATCCATCCTTCACGTGATAAGGACGACCTCCAATCCCTCCCAGCACCACCCAAGTGTTCTCTGCTTCCTCCTGAAAGAATACGCATGTACTCACAGTCGTATTCTAGCTTTCCACGTGTCCTTGGCTGACGAGCATCGAGCTGGCTGGACATTCCCTCGGGGAGCTTCCCATCAGCCAGTTCCTCTGCCTGCAGCCTTCCTCCTGTTCATTCATCTGAGCTGCTCCAATGCTCCAATGCAAATGGAGTTTTTCTTCCCCTTCTCAGACACTGGACTAAGAATGGGGGCAACCCAGGGTCACCTGTCACAGGACTGGCATAATCCCAAAGAGAAGCTGAGTGCGAGAGTCTCAGGCTTTGCAGGGTGAGAAGCCTCAGAGGGAAAGGCTTCCAGGGAGTGGAATCTCTGTGGCTGTGCGAATGAACTGAGACACTTGATTTGCAAAGCACTCTCACATACAGCAGCTCACTAAACCTCACTCGAGCCAATATTGCCGTGATTATTACCCCCATTCACAAAGAGGAAACAGAGGCACAGAGAAGTGAAGTCACGCGCCCAAGGACACACAGGCCATACTTGGAGCTGAGATTTGAGACCAGTGTGTTTGGCCACCAAAGCTGATGCCCTTACGCTGGGGCCACACTGCCCCCTGGTGGCAGCGAGGATGGTGGCGGTGATGAGTATGTACTTAAAAAAAAAAAAAAAAAAAATTAGCCAGGCGTGGTGGCAGGTGCCTGTAGTCGTAGCTCCTCGGGAGTCTGAGAGAATTGCTTAAACCAGGAGGCAGAGGTTGCAGTGAGCCAAGATCACGCCACTGCACTCCATCAGCCTGGGTGACAGAGTGAGACTCCATCTCAAAAAAAAAAAAAAGAAAAAAAAGAAAAAAGAAATACCTGATGATCAATCCTCCATTTCGCAGAAGAGATAACAGGTTCTCGGAGAGCTAAATGCCAGGCTTGAATCCAAATTAGTCTGGCATCAAGATCAGAGCATTTAACCACGATACTGCCTCCCGGTCGCATTCAATGGGGAACAAACACTTCTACAGTCTCAATATCTTCACAAAATTCCCCCACCACTCCAGCCTTAAGTGAGGGTAGGAACTCCCCCTGCAGCGCCAAATCTGCACACTGACCTTTATTACACTCTTTCTACTCTCTTGTCTCCCACTCAATGCCCTGGGAGCCCAGACACTGGCTTCAGAAGCTCTCCTCCTCCTTCTCCTCCTCTATTGACCATCCTCTTCCTCTCCCATTCCTTCAGCCTCTCTACTGGCTGCTTCCTACCCATGAATGGTGGGAAATACGCTCAAGTATCTCAAATTTTTAAAGTACAACAAAATTCTCCCTGACTTCCTGCTATGGTCTGAATGTTTGTGCTCCCTCAAAATCCATATCTTAAAACTTGGCCAGGTATGGTGGCTCACACCTGTAACCCCAGCATTTTGGGAGGCCTTGGTGGGAGAATTGCTTGAGGCCCAGGGTTCAAGACCAGCCTGTACAACATAGTGAGACCCTGTCTCTACAAAAATGGAAAAAACTAGCCAGGAATAGTGGCATGCGCCTGTAGTCCCAGCTATACGGGAGGCTGAGGTGGGAGGATCACTTAACTCCAGGAGTTTGAGGCAGTGAGCTATGATGGTGCTACTGCATTCCAGCTGGTATGAGTTGGAGTGAGACTTTAATCTAAAAAAATTAAATGAATGCATGAATGAATAAATAAAATTTAAAAGGTCAGACATGGTCTCAGCTCCCATCTACTTGGGAGGCTAAGGCAGGACGATTGTTTGAGGCCAGGGGTTCAAGACTAGCCTGGGCAACAAAGCAAGATCCTGTCTCTACAAATAATTTAAATAAAGCCAACCTAACCTCTAGGGTGATGGTAATTAACGGTGGGGCCTTTGGGAAGTGATTAGGTTGTAAGGGTGAAGCCCTCTTGAATGAGATTACATCCCTTATAAAAGAGGCCTGAGAGAGCTTGTTGGTCCCTTTCACCATGTGAGGACACAGCTAGAAAGTGCCATCTATGAAGCAGAGAGCAGCCCTCACCAGACACCGGATCCACTGGCACCTTGATCTTGGACTTCCCAGCCTCCAGAACTGTGAGCAATGAATTTCTGTTGTTTATAAACGACCCAGTTTAAGGTATTTTATTATAAAACCTTGAACTGACTAGGACACATCTCATCAGTCTCCAACCATCCACATCTCTCTCTCTTTTTTTTCTTTTTAAGACCACAGAAGCCTGACCATTCTGTTTAATTATCTCTAATAATCCTTAAAAATCAGCACACAAATCCATTCCAGGTAGCTTTGCCTCTCCACTTGCTGTGGTGGCATTTGTCCAGACGCCACTACTCCCCTAAGAGTGGGTCAACCTGGGGGAGCAAGGCCTGAGAAAGGAAAGGAAAGGAAGGGAAAGGCCCCCTAGTGCCTGCCCCACAGCCCTGGGACAGGCACATATTTAGCCTGACCTGAGACAGGGCAGGAAGAGGCCACAGGGCTGAGTGCAGGGACAAAGGGGCCAGGATCCCAAGTGTCCGGGCCCCCAGCTACCCACCCCATGTCTGTTTTTGGTTTTGTCATTAAAAAAATAAAGTGACAAATACTGGTGGAAACCAGTTGTTGCACTGTCTTCTGTTAAAAATACGGACCAAGGGCATAGAAAGTCTCCTCTTCAGCAGGTCCTGCTTCACAGGATGTCTGCCCGCTTGCTCCGCACACGGCTTCGAGCCTTGGTCCGGGCTTTGAAGGTGGCAGTATTGTACAGGTGCTTCTCGAAGCGTGGAACCTTGCAGGCCTTCAGGGCAGTGGCATCCAGCACCAGCACAGGGCCCAGGCCAAAGATGTCACGGAGTAGCTCATTGCTCCGGAGGTGGTGGTGCATAGCTGAACCCAGCACTTCCTTGAAGGCAGTGTAGATCCGGTGCCCAGCCCAGCTGTCCCTGTAGAGCACCTCAAAGCCGAAGCGCACTATCTCTTCTTCACGTTCACCGCCCTCCACCGAGTGCAGCACGGCGCGGAAAGTAGAGCCCTGGCTCTGGCGATCGGCCTTGGCACGGTACTTGTTACTGTCAGTGGCCAGAGTGCGCAGGACACTGCAGAGGGCCTCCATGTCCTCGTAAACAAACACCTCCTCAAGGTCCCGGGCAAGCTCAAAGAGCAGTGCAATGGTTTCACCGGCAGCGATCCACAGGTTCACACTTTAACTGGACAAGAGCTGGGGCAGCCGGGGCAGCTGCCTGTCAAGGATGTGGCTGATTTGGGTGCTGGGGAAGATGGTGAGCAGCAATGCCCAGGTCTGCAGGGCAGCACAGAGCAGGCCGTGCAGGCTGGCAGGAACCACAGGAGTCGTGGAGCTACCCAAGCCATAGAACCGGCTGAAAACACTTTCTAAGCAGGCAAGGCAAGAGACTAGGTCCTGGATGTCGGCAGCAGCCACGTAGCAGCCCAGGCCAAGAGCAGAAGCACAGTGGAGCCTGGCAGCAGGGCTAGCTGTGCTGTCACTGAGCATAGAGACCAGCAGAGGCTGCAGGCTGTGGAACAGCTCCTCACCCTTGGGTTCAGGGCCCAGCTGCACGCAGAGCAGGCCTCGCACAGCAGCAGCCAGGGCTTGTTCCTCTCCCTTCCCTTTCCTGAGGCACTTTTCCAGGGCATCAGCTAGTGTGAGGCGGCGCTCCAGCAAGAAGTCGAGGAGTAGGCGCGACGCCAGGGCCAGGCGCAGGCTCTTGAGAGCACCCTGCCGGGTCTTGGGACTCTTGTCTGTGAGGCAGTCCACATACTCCTTCAGCTTTTCCTCAAGGTCTTCCTGCTGGCCCTGCTCATCCACGACATCCCCCACAAGGCTGTCCTCCGCAGTGGTGCTGAGAAGCCTGGGGCATTCACTGGCGGTGCTGCGGGCCTCACTGGCTGCCTCATCATCACTGCAACCCGAGTCAGCTTGGGTACTGCTCCGGGCACCTCCTCCACGGCGCGGACCACCCTTCCGGAGCGTGTTGCCTGTAACGGGCGCGAGGCATGCCGGGCACCGGGCGCGGGGGGCGCGCGGGGGGCGCGGGGTCAGGGACCCGGTGGGTGTGGGCTCCCGGACGGCGAGATGCCGGCTGGTGCGCTGCGCTGAGACTTGGCCAGACCACGGGCACCACACGCCGCGCACGCCACCATCTTCGCGAGGCGCCCATCCACGTCGTCTCTTTACAGGCAAACATCTTGAAGACGTTATCTATTCTCTCTCCATTTACTCACTCTCAACCTTCCATGCTCACTGTTCCACTGGCCTGTTCACATCTGGGGCACCAGTTCACACCTGGGGCACCCTTCATCACTGGACCCCACAGACACTTTTCATCTGGTTCTCGTCCTCTTGGGCACATCAGCAACATTTGATGCTGCTGACCACAGCTGCCCTAGGGAGCCTCTGTGATATTACACTCTCCTGGTTTTGCTTCGTGCTCTCTGGCTGTTGTTTCTCAGTATCTTTTGCAGACATTTCTTGTTCTGCCTCAGTCTCATGTTGTTTTCGCCCCAAGGTTCTGTCCTTCTCACACTACACTCTCTCCCTAGGTGATCTTGTTCACTGTCGTTAGTATATGCTTCCCAAGTCTTTGCCTGCACCCACTCTGTCTCCTGAGCTCCAGACATCAGTCAACATCACGACCATGTCTTGTCCCCCAAACCAGAATACTGGGCATCATCTTGGACCTTTCCATAATCAGTTGTCAAATTCTGACTATTCTACCTCTTGAAGATTCTCCAAATTTTTTTTCCTCACTCTGTTGCCCAGGCTGGAATGCAGTGGCTTGATCTCTGCCTACTGCAACCTCTGCCTCCCAGGTTCAAGAGATTCTCCTGCCTCATCCTTCCAAGTAGCTGGAATTACAGGCATGTGCCACCACACCTGGCTAATTTTTATGTTTTTAGTAGAGGTGGGGTTTCACCATGTTGGCCAGGCTGATCTCGAACTCCTGGCCTCAAGTGATCCACCCGCCTCAGCCTCCCAAAGTGGGATTACAGGCGTGAGGCACCATGCCCAGCCAGATTCTCTAAGCTTTTACAGTTAAGAGGTATGGCTTTGCAGATGGATTGGACTCTACACTAACTCACTATTTGTCCAGCAGAATGACCAAAGCAGGCTTAGTTACTTAACCCTCTGAGCTCCCTCATCTATAAAACAAAGGTAATGGAAATTGCTCTTTGGATTAAGTGAAATGAAGTATGTGACTACCAGGGCACAGCCATTAGTACAAGTAAGCTCTCAATAAAGGGCAGCCATCATCTGCTATCGTTGTCATTAATACTCCTCCCTCTTCTTCTCCTCACCACCAAGCTTCCTGGCTGGTTGCCCTGCCTCTGGTCTCTCTCTCCCACTCCAAGACATTCTCTGTGCACAGTGGGTATGAGCCTTCTCAAACATGTAGCTACCTATGTTAGTCCTCTGTCTGAGGCCTGGTTCTGGCTTTCCAATGTCCTCATGCTGAGTGTTTAGTCCTTGGCTTCAAGACTCTCTTCCCTCTGGCCCCTGCCAACTTCTTTAGCCTCATCTTTGGAGACTCCCAGTCTCTCTTTCTATATTGCAGCCCAAACCAACTTCTATCTCCCCTCTAACACACCTCCTGCTTTTTCTACACTTCATGACTTTGTTTACCCCCTCCTTTGTGGCCTGCACTCTATTCATCTGTTTGAAATTTATGACCCATTTAAGAGATGTCTTCCATGATGCAAGTCGGCTTCATTTCCTCCTCTGGGCCCTTCAGCTCTACAGTAGCACAGATCACAGTGGATATGATGGACAAGGTTTGGACAAGGTTTTGACTGGCTACCCCACTAGACTGTGTCAATTGCCTGTGACCACACACCCGGTGCAAAGCCAACCTCATTCAATGTGGAATGAAGAATGAGCCTCAGCTATCCTAATCTTTAAAATGGCGGCATTGGCAGCCAGTCCTGGTCAATCCAGAGGAGAGAAAGAGCACTGGAGGCTGGAGGAAGATGAAGTCACAGAAGGCTCCCTCAAGGAGGTTGGGCTTAGAATTATAAGGCCTCTGTATTAGTCCATTTTCACACTGCTGATAAAGACATACTCAAGATTGGGCAATCTTCTGAGCCCTCCAAACTGTTCCAACCTGTGCCTGTTACACAGTTCCAAAGTCGCTTCCACATCACAGAAGGCTCCCTGGAGGAGGTTGGGCTTAGAATTATAAGGCCTGTGTATTTGTCCATTTTCACACTGCTGATAAAGACATACTCAAGACTGGACTTCCTCTGAGCCCTCCAAACTGTTCCAACCTGAGCTTGTTACCCAGTTCCAAAGTTGCTTCCCCATTTTTGGGTATCTTTTCAGCAATGCCCCACTCTATTGGTACCAATTGACTGTATTAGTCCTTTTTCACAATGCTGATAAAGACATACCTGAGACTGGGCAATTTACAAAAGGAAGAGGTTTATTGGACTTACAGTTCTACTTGGCTGGGGAAGTCACACAATCATGGCAGAAGGCAAGGAAAAGCAAGTCCCGTCTTACATGAATGGTAGCAGGCAAAGAGAGAATGAGGAAGACGCAAAAGCGGAAACCCCTGATAAAATCATCAGATCTCGTGAGACTTGTTCACTACCTAGAGAACAGTATGGGGGAAGCCGCCTCCATGATTCAATTGTCTCCCACTGGGTTCCTCCCACAACACGTGGGAATTGTGGGAGTACAATTCAAGATGAGATTTGGGTGGGGACACAGAGCCAAGCCATATCAGCCTCTAAGAACAATTAAGAGTGAGCAAGAGAGGGCAAGAGTGCAGATTTGGGAGACTGAGTGTCTCTCTGTTCTGTCACGCTTGTTCCTCCAGCTTCAATACACTTGAAGGATCCCAGCAGCCAATAGCACAGCATTTTACATTTACACAGAAAATTTTCACAAACTTTTTCATTTGTGTCATTAGTTGGTGCAGAGGCTGGAGTGAGAGTTAGGAAATCTGCCTTGTCTTTGGATTGCTGTGTGACTTTGGGCAATCCCTTTCACCTCTGAGCTTGTTTCCTCATCTGTCACGTGTGGATACCAATAGTTGCTCCATACGTGGGAAAGTCCCCATAGACCATAAAGTTCTGTGTCCCACTGAGCACTATTAATCTTGTTGTTCTAATTATCAGCAAAGCCCATGGTAACTGCTAACCAGCCACATGGGGGTCCCCAGAAAATATTATTCAGGGCCCAGTAAAAGGGGACCTCTGGGGGTCAAGGCCTCAGCAGGCCAAGAAGCGGTAGAGCTTGGGGGTTTAATGGGATAGGCTCAGCTCCAACCTGGTTCTTCCCACTGAGGCAGCACTGGCTTGGGGAGAGGAAGGAGCAGCTGGCATGGCCTGGGTTGGGCAGATGAGCTGGGCCGACCTGCAGAGGTCTCAGGTATGAAGGCTGAAAGTGAAGTGCCCAAAGCCTGTCATAGTCAAGGAGGGGCTAGGCTCTGGGAAGACAGCGTCTGGGGAGATGGGCAGTTAGGGACCCTCATCCCGCTAGGAGAGGGGCTCTAGGAGAAGGTATCTGAGCCAAACTCTTTGTGCTCTGATTTAGAGCATTCCGGGTGGGCAGGCTATGCTGCTGGTTTACCATCTGTGTGACTGTGGCTGGGTCAGAACCCCCTCTGGGCCTCCCCCTGCCTATCAGCAGCAATACAGGAGCTGGACTAGGAGCTCTCTATAGAGTCCAGTGTTGTCTGATTCTGTAGCAGCACTGGACAGGAAGCCCTGAGGTTGTCAGGACAGTCATGGTCCAGTCTGCCTGTGGAAAACTGGGAAGCCAGGTGCCCAGACCCCACTGATATGCTGGTTTTGTAGAAGAGGGGTCAGAACACATCCCAGGCCCTAGGGAACCCCTAGTCTGGTGAGGAAGCAGATGTGAACATGGATAGCTCCCAGCATTGTCTGGGCTGCCAGATGGGAAAGCTTCAGGGACCCTCCCATAGAGGACACCTGGGAGCCCTGAACAGGGAGCAGGCATCTGGCTTCTGGTGTGGCTCTGCCACTAGCTCTCTGTGTAGCCTTGACCAAGGTCAGCTCTCCTTTCAGCTTTAAAAAAAAGTATTTTAAAATTATTTTTATTTTTTATAGAAACAGGGTCTCGCTATGTTGGCCAGGCTGGTCTTGAACTCTTGATCTCAGGTGATCCATCTGCCTCGGCTTCCCAAAATGTTGGGATTACAGGCTTGAGCCACTGCACCCAACCCAGGTCTGCTTTATCTTAATAGGGAGTGAATTTATTTTCAACTTGGGTTCCATTCAGGAAATAACTTCTTCTATGAAAGGCATATACAATGTCTCTGCCCTCTGAAAGTGACCAACAGAGGAGTTTCACAGGACATCGGACTTTCAGTACTAAAACCAGGACAGTTCTGGGCAAATCAATATGGTTGGTCACTGTATGATGCGACAAAGAGAAAGGATACAAAGACAGATCCTAGGGCACCCAGGTTAGACAGAGACAGACAGAGCAAGCCCCTGCACAGGCACACAGAAAAGGAAGCTATTTCTGGGGTAAGCAGACAACATTTTGTAGTGCTTCTTGGAGGAAGCCACTAAAGAGAAAGATATCACAGAAAAGGAATTCTCATGTGAATGGAAATGGAGAGACTAAAACAAGGGCACTGATTCAGACATAACATTCCGTCCCAGATAGAGTGAGATGAGAATGGAGCGGGGCATAGAAGAGGAATGGAATCCAGAGCACCACAGAAGCTGTTGTTTCAGTTATCCCCAAAGGTTTCCCAGCAGCTCCCTAGAGTTCATGAGCTAGAAGTCTTTATCAGTGGCCCCTGACAATCCTCCAGACTCAGAGGAACACAGCGTCAGGGGAACCTTAGAATAAATGACATAGTTTTCACTCCAGGGTTTAGCTTTACTCACTCGCAACCAGTGATTCTGCTGTCTTCACAAGGTCCCACGATAAAGAACCCCATTCAGGAATCATGCAGGCATAGCTGGACCGGATGGGCTTATGTCAAATGACTACAGTCAAGATCCTGGTGCTTAGAGTGGGCAAAACCTGGTAAGTGTATTCATCAACATTACCATACCTAGAAGATTACTTCACCTGTGCTAGTGGGAACTGGGCTAAAAACCAGACATCCTTAAAGGAGCTACTTGAACTAATAGAAGAGCTACTTGATTTTTTAATTGGCACTTGAACACAAGCAGATGCCTCTCAGATTTTTTCTCTCCAATAGGTTAAATTTGCCCACCAACATTGCAATCTTATTTTTTAATTTTTGTAAGATAAGGTCTTGGTCTGCTGCCCAGCTTGGAGAGCAGTGGCGTGATCATGGCTCACTGTAGCCTCAAACTCCTATGCTTACCTTAACATCTGGAGTAGTTATGATTACGGGTGCATGTCACAATGCCTGACTAACTTTTTTGACTTTTTGTAGAAAAGGGGTCTTCCTATGTTGCCTGGCTGGTCTCAAACTCCTGGCCTCAAGCGATCCTCTGGCTTTAGCCTCCAAAAGTGTTGGGATTACAGGTGTGAGCCACCGTGCCTGGCTACAATCTTATTCATATGATTCATTTATGTTATTATTATTATTTTTAGAAGCAATGAATCTAGGGTTAGAAAGTTACTTAAAGGTTTTTAATCTAGTTGCTATCCAAATATTAAATCTCTGTAGCATTCCA